GGCGCAAGCAGGCTTCATTAACTGCCCCTGCCACTAGCAAAATCTCTCAGCTGCTTTTGTTTGTAAACTGGCCAACGGGAGCTCCGATTTTGCTAAGCGGTGGGACAGAGCACAAAGCCTCCCTCCTCGTTCCCAGAACAGAGCAGCCACATTCAAAGCAGCTGCCACTGCGCTGTGCTTAAGGGTCCCAGCAAGGCAGCCATGGGCCAGATCCAGTGGCTTGGCAAGCTGGATCCAGCCTGCTGGCAGCCTCTTGCCCACCCCGGCCTAGTTTGCTTGGTGTCCACAAGTCAAACAAAAGACTGTTTCCATGTAAATACAAGCTATACCTTTTGGCCTATTGAAAGAGACCCACCCCCACAAAATTCCTCAATACCCCAAACTGAAAATGCCTCAGATACTTCTCTTTCCTATCTCTTTGGCTACTCTCTCTTTCAGGGGGGAGGCAGGGAGTACACATATAGCATCTAGAGTTTTTAATTGATCCTTTTAAAAAATAATAGCCTCAAGTCTGGATTAAATATTTGTATTCAATATGAGCTTTTCCCATCTATTACTGCAGGTTTCTAAATACTTACAATGATTTCCTCCTTTCTGTCCAAAGGTTGTTGCCATTAAAGTTATCAAGGAAAGCCAAAGCGGGACAAAAATGGGTATATATGAGAATGCATTATGTCCATCCAGTCTGTGCACTAGTAGAATCTAATGGAAAAAGTTAAGCAAATATGAGTTTGATTATAATGCACATCCCTGATTTTAAAGACTTTTATATGCTGGACCCCCAATCCTGCAAGATACATTGCACAAAATATCCCGACTATGCAAAGTTCCACTGGTCTCAGTTCTAACAAGTTTCCAACACTTATGTGAATGTATGAACTTTTGTTCTGAAGTAGCAAAAATTCCTACCTTAATTTTCAATGACCCCTCCCTCCCCAGCTTAATCCATGATAAGAGTTAAGATTTTATTCTAATCAAGGAATAGTATCTTCACTTTAAGGAACCCCAAAAGCAGCAACTAATGAAATATAGAACCTAACTAAGAACCACACACAAATGTGTTTTTGCTTACTTCAAATGTGAGTAATGGAACAACGATTGTCATCCAACTGATGGCCATTGTTATGTGTGTTCTCCTTTGCTCAGCAATAACATCCATTGAACGGAGGAATAGGACAGACCAAACAATGTAATAGAGTACTACCAGACACAGAAAGGACATCAAGATCCACAGAGGAACACAAACAACCTGAAAAAGAAAGAAAGTTGACTATTTTTCTCCTCTCAGGGATGAGTTACTCTGTATTAGTTTTGGTTTTTAGAAAATACACATATTGAACCTAAATAGGTGAAAGCAATTTGTAAATTTATGTTTTTAATTAAGATTATTTCTACAACAAGAAAGCTTCATAAACCATGACCATTAGTAAGTACGATATCAACTTCACTAGATAAGTTTCTTAAACCTTTGTCTAGACTGGACCTTTAACACAATTAGCTGAAGCAATTTAAAACCACTTCAAGCTAATTCAGTTTCAGTAAAATTTAATTAGATATAATAAATTGGGCAAGGGATCTTAAAATGAGTTTAGAATATATGTAGGGTAGAAATTTCTAAGCAAGACTCTTGTCTCCTTTTGAATTTACTCTTGAATATGAAGCAAGAAGAGGAGACCATGACAGTCGCATGATATGAGATGCTCAAAGTGGGGCAACACAATATCTTAAGAGTCCTTCCAATTTTTTTTAGGAGACCATGACAGTCGCATGATATGAGATGCTCAAAGTGAGGCAACACAATATCTTCAGAGTCCTTCCAATTTTTTTTCCCCCCTCACATCTACTATTTTTGTATGTAATTTTTTATAAGAATGTGTCTCTGAAAGCCACTTTTGGAATTTTAAATCGCAATATATTCTTTTTACATTAACTCTTCCTTGTAACTGTATTTGAAATGGTTTGTAAAAATACTGGCTTAATCAACCAATTATTTACTAGGTACTTACAAAAGCATTCCCTATCTCATCATCCATTAACTCCCTACTTTGTCTTGTTTTCTCCAAGGCAGTTTCTTTTCTATCTAATTTCCTCAACAACTGATCAGAGATTAACTGGAGTTTGTACTATGTTTCACTCCCCCCTGCAGAATGACACAAGCAGCCTCTTATCTCTACCTGTTTCTAGAGTGAAAGCATCTGGATAAGCAAATCAAATGAAATGAGATTCTGGACTTGTCAATGCCATGGCATTAACATTTTAAACAGGTTTTCTACCTAAAGGAATAAAAATGAAACAGACTATAGCAGCCAGGTTTTCAGTGGACAGAGATCTAGGCCTGTGCACAAAAATACATGCAAGCTAAACAGGAATTTTAGGCAATTAGAAACCTTTTTATATAACCCATTTCTTGGGGGGGGGAGGGGAGTTTGCTCAAATGTGTATAGAAACATGCATGGAATAGCATGAACTGTGTGTGAACCTATAAATCTAGCTCAGGAGCGGGGAACCTCAAGCCCAGGGGCCAAATGTGGCCCCTGGCTTGCCTGGATTTGGCCCGAGGCTCATGGCCCCCACCAGCATTGGGGAGCTCACATTGATGCTCAAGTACCCCGTCCCCACCTTTACCTCACTGCGAGGCTGGAGCACACAAAATCTATTAGGCTGGGTCCCCATAGGACAGGCCTGCACAGCTCGGAAAATGATGAGGGCCATATTACTCCAAAGAAAACAGCTGTGGGACGCAAGTAGGGATACTCTCCCAAAAAATACCAAACACACAGCTAAAAATTTTTGTTGAGAGGAAAAACAAAAAACAAAACAAAACCAACCACAGATGAGAAACAAAACACTGCGTGTCTCCACTTGGCCCCCTGCATTTGTCTCTCCTTCACCCTGCCCCTTGGTGTCTTCCCCTGTCTCCTGACCTGTCCCCCTCCCCTCAGAACAAGCCCCTTTCCCTCCCCGACCTGGCTTCTGCCTCTTAGAATCCGGCGGTTGCTGACCGTGACATCACACCAGCGTCCCGGCGTCTGCTGGCGTCCCGCCCTCTGGCTTGCGCCCCACCTCCTCGCACCGGAGCTGCACGCAGGCAGCCCTGCGGCGAGAATCACCACACTTCCCCCTCCCCGGTGGTGCTCCGCTCCTCCGCCCAGCTGGCGGATTGGATGGGGCAGTACAGTGAGCCCCTGAGGGCCGCATGCGGCCCTCGAGCTATGTTGTATAGGCCTGCCACAGGCTCCGGTGTGTGTGGCTCCTTCTCAGTCAGGGGCCATGTCAGTGAGGGTTTTTGCTTTTTTGCTTCTCACTTGTTTCAGTCAGGGGCCATGTCAGTGAGGGTTTTTGCTTCTCACTTGTTGTCAGCCCCCGACTGATTTTTCTGTGGGCGGGCAGCCCTCAATCCAAAAAAAGTTCCCTACCCCTGTTCTAGCTATTGAAAGTTTGGCACTAAAGCTTTATATCTACCAATGTTTTTCAACAACAGCAAGTCTTTAACAAGGCCTGTAATAAGTTAATGCTTTCCAAGAAGTTTTAATTTCTACTTTTTTGTAGTTTAAGACGACAATCTATCTGAATAGCTCCCAAATCAAGAATTCTATTCCATTTGCTATATGTGCATGTTTTATAAGTATCTAACTATTTACCCATATTTTTTCAGAAGGATAAACTAAGAGACTGTGAAGGTAACTACTTACCATGAAGAGCTCAATATATTTTTAAAACAGTGCTCTGATGCCTTTGGGCACTGGATACCATAGGGTATTCCTTATTTGTTAAAACCCACACACTACATTTACACTAATAATTTTTTTTAATTAAAAGTGATATCTACAATGTATTACTTCCAAATATACATAACTACTTGGTTCACTTTGTGCAATTTGGTAGCAAATAACTTACTTCACTTAAAAGCATTTTCCTTAGCTGGCCACTATATTCAATGTTTGCATGAAGACGTCAACATTTAGAAACAACCTTAAAATGGAGTAAATGCAATTTACGTACAAGCCATGGCCATCTGATGATCTCGTCTAGTCTGAGTGCAATAAATATGAACTGGAGAATATTGACAGAACACAAAATTTCCAACTACAAATAAAAAACAAAGATATATTAGAACTACTTCATAATTCTATAAAGTAACACACAAACACCCAAAAAGTCTGAACGAACAACTTTATGGCTCATGATACAATTCTTTAACAAAGAACACTTATAACAACACTAGATGTTCTGACTGATCATTCAGGTTTCTTTCATCATTCATTATTTCCAATTATGTTAGTTACTGTTTCTTAAACTAGTATTTCCTTTAGTAGTTGCATTGCAAACACTGCAGCACTTAGCCAGTGCAAGATAGCCAGTGCATGACAAAGAGGATACCATCCAGTTTCACACTCCTGCATTTAATGCAAAGAGACAGTATGAATAGTGAAAGTACATTACATTTTTAGAAGCTACTGTAGGATATGTTAAGTCTTTAGTGGAACTATTTTCTCATGTAGCCATATAGGTTAAGTACTAGTTTCATTTAACAAAAAAAGAAAGCCACTGTGCTTTCAGTGTTCCATTAATGTCTACTTCAGGCCTCAGGAAAAAAGTAAAAATCGTACTTTAAAACTAACCTAAATTGAAAACATGACACCTTTCTTGCTTAATTCATACAGGATCAATTAATGAAGCGTCATCTGCCTTGGCAGAATTCCATTTCCCAAAGTTTCTGGGACAATCCCAAAGAGGTAGAATTTGGTTAAGGGATAAGAGATAAAATGGTAACTGAAACCAGCATGTTTAAATTAAATACATCTTCTGTTTTAAATGACAATGTTTAAGAGGATTTTGAGATAAATATTTTTCAGAAGTCAGACAATGTGTGATACATCATACTGGCTCAGTGAACTTAGTGAGCATTTTGCATAATTATGACTTCTAAAATGTATATGTGACACTCTGAATCTTTAAATGAAGAACCAAGTCTCCACTAGCCAAGCATAGGTAACGAATTTCAAGTAACTATGTACTAGAACTCCACAACAGAGTAGAAAAATAAGTGGACACTGGGCAAAAAGAAAAATTACAGTATAGACTTCTGTAACAGGGTTTTATCATTAAGTTAATATGCACCATTTGGGCCAAATTCAGCTGAATGTTTGGAGATGCCAGAATCAAATTTAAAAGCATTCATATGTACCTCAGATTAACAGTATTTTTATAATCACTGGAGCAGAACGTACAGCAGAAAATTTCCCCAGCCCATCATGCACACACAAGGACTTTTCAAGAATTGGCCTCCTATGTCAATGCATAATCAGTTTCATAGTGAGATCGAGCAGACTGAAAATACTTCAGTTCAATAGCTGCTTCTTTTTAATGATATTCAAACAACTGCCTCAGTTACATTACATCAACCAACATAATACGTGTTTGTGCACTAGGATATGCTGAATGTTAACAGCACAAAAAAGCCTGAGCTACAGAGTGGAGAACAAAAGTAGTAAAACCCTCCAGTACGACAAGAAAAAACAAACTAAGAGGAGCATGAAAATAAAGGTGATAAAGTAGTGAAAAAAATAAATTGGGCGGTAGAATTTTCTAACATTCTCTTTAGGAGATAGCTGTGACCTTTCAGGTTGAGTGGGTTTCAATTTCTCTCCACCAATATTTATCACTTGTGCACCCATCCTCTAAATCAAGAGTATTCAAGCATCCAGTGGAAGATGACTACTCTTATGCACATTTTACTTGAAGGTACTCAAACAGAATTCTGTAAAATGAAGTTCTATTTGAAAATATTTTTAAATCTGCAGTTTAAGGGATCTAAAAATCACAGTCCACCAGTTAATGAAGAGGCAATTTCCTTTCTCCATTTTCCAAAAAATGATAAATTCAATATATCCTAACACGTTAAAAATATTCTGTTGAGCTAATAGTCAAGTCATCTAAATAGGTAAGGGATTTTTGTACGGCCCCTATGGTATCAGCCTTCTGGTAACAGTGCTGCAATAATTTCCTCAGACAATTCATTGAACTAAAAAGCTGAGTTTGTTTCGGACATGGTAGCATGCATGCCATATCTCAGTGTTATCCAGAAATGTGCTCTCATATGACTAAAGAGCTAATTACATATAGAGTGTGAACAAGCTAACCTCTTTTTTCTACAAACAGCACCTCTCACTCAAAGGACTCTTCAGCCTTCACCAAGATCCTACGAATTAAGTGATTTCAGCAAACAATATTGTCTCGGAGCACTTATTACCAGCCCTAAATTTGCTTCTGAGATACTCAAAAGTTAGTCCATACTACAGAAACACTTTTGTAGTTCATTGTTCAGAGTCACCAATGGAGTGGGGCAGCAAAGAGGGAAAATTGCCTCCTTTAAAAGATTCTGGGACTATTGGCCACCACTGTTCAGCAGCAGCCAGAGTTCTTGGCCCTTTAAATCACCACTGGAGCCTCCCGGGAGGAACAGAAGGGCTGGTGAGGGAGGAGGCCCCCTTCTACTGGAGGTCCCACCCCTTCCAGAGCAGTGCTCTCTCCCTGCAAGTTGTGGCAAAGACTCTCATCAGCCCTGTCATTGTTATAACAGATTCAATAATAAAGTCAAGTTTAGAACAATCATGTTGTAATTTAATTTGTTGTCCTATACTAAGAAGTTAAGTAGAAAAGTTAACTGAGAATAGGGCTCCCCCCCCCCATCCCCCATTTCCTGGTTTCTCAATTTTGGTAAGTTACAGAATATAACAGATAAATACATGTTTTGGTAACATGCAAACAAATTCTGCTATTCAGATTCAACAATCCTAGTTCTCAGTAATCAAAAACCATGCCTCACCTCCAGAGATCTGTCATGTCGGAAGCCCCACACACAAGCTGCAACTGACACTGGAGATACAAAGAACAATGGCATGAAGACCAGAAGCCAGAAATGAGTCCCTCTTTCGATCCTGTCACATACCAGAACTTCAAACATCAGCAGTAGCAGATGGATGCCTACTGCAATTAGCATAGCTTTGAATTCCACACAAGTTTCTCCTTCTGCTCTAAAGAGGGGTAAAGAAGGAATGAAAATCTATTGGCCTTAATTCACAAAATAATATAAATTATGAAGCATCCCATCATACAATATCCCAAGACATTTTAAATATAACAGTTCAAAGTTTCTTGTATTAATTACTATCTTTTCAGTGCCATGTTCCCACGTGGCAATAATAGGCATTATTCAGATTTCACACTTCTGTACAGCTTTCTGGAAAGAAAAAAATTCTTACCAAATTTGGGCAAAAAGTAAAAATTGAACACATTTCACAAGAGGAAAATTCACCAAAAAAATCCATTTTGAGAAAACCAAAATGGATTTATTTTTGGTTTGGTCCCTGCATAGTACAGGAGCGGGACAGGTTGGCAGGACACCTGCTGGCAACCTGCTATCTGGTCTCTGTTGAAACTACTGATGGACCAGACACATCCCCAATGTTTAAACTCTGTGGAGTCAACATTTTCCAATGGAAAATTATGCCATCTGAAAATTTTTGACTAGCTCTATCTTTCTAGAGCATATGTTTCCTACTTCTCAGATGCATCTGTTGTTAGAAAGACTGGCATCTAATTTTCAGCAAATCCAGTAGAAATTCAGAGTTAGGAACAGAATGGGCAATGCGCACCTTATCTGGAATCAGAAGTACACAACAGAGACAACAAAAAAGCAAATACAGTACAAACTTAACTGTAAACTACTAAAAAAGGGAAAGTTAAAAAATTTCACCTTTGTTTCTACGCTTGTTTCATTTAACTGAAACACAGCCTTTTTCCTCTGCACAATAAAGTTTAAGTCAATGTTCAGTTGTAAACTTTCGAAAGAACAACCATGTTTTGTTCACAGTTACAAACATCCTCTATTCCAGAGGTATTCGGAACTCTACAGTACTGCAATGACTGCTTATATTTTTGGTCTCAGTGAAAGGGGGAATTCTATATACTCCTGAACTTAAGCGATCACATTTATATCATGGAAATAAAATAATAAATATGTCAAAAATTCTTCTTGAAGTAGACACAAAGACACTATTCATAAGTTGAGTAATATAATCTATAAGAATGTGGATTGTGTGTGCAGTTATATGAGAGAATCATTTCTTATTACACGTTTGGAAAGTGGCATCTACAAGTTACTACTATATTACCATAAAAGTTTTTAATCTTGTTTTTTCTATAGTATATTCAAAGGGAACATAGTATTAAATGCAGACATATGAACTCTTGTATGCATTCTTGTTACTGATCGTATGTATGAATTTAAAGTCTGACAATCAGTTTGAAACAACATAGGACAAGCTGAAAAATAACTGCAACCTTGGCATAAAAATAATGAAATGCAAGTTTCTTCTCATACATTTTGTTCTGTTACTGGGAACATGATTATATTACACACACTCATACAGGATATTACACTATTGAGGAATGTTTGTTTCTCGTGAAAACAACTAAAATGGTTGGCAAATATCACCTAGGCCAGGGGTTCCCAAAGTTTTTGACAAGGGGTCCAGTAAATCCATTCACAAGCTTTTGGAGGACCAGTAACATTCATTTGCATATTCATTAAGCAAATTTCAAATATGCAAATAAGTTGTTTCTGGTCCACCCAAAGCCCCCAGTGCCAGCTTTAGCAAAGCTTTTGATATGGTCACCCACAATATTCTTGCCAGCAAGTTAAGGGAATATGGATTGGATAAATGGACTGTAAGTTGGATAGAAAGCTGGCTAGACAAGGGTTTCCCAAACTTTTTACTTTAGTTGGAACGCGTTTTTTTTCAGTACTATTTTTTGCAGCCCAAAAATAAATGCATATTAAAAAAAAAAAAGAATGAAAAATGAATAAATTTTCCACTGTTTCACCCAGCTGCATCCTCCGCTCAGCCTGGGCCAGGGCTTAGGGGACCAGGCGCATAGGCACTCCAGGAGGCAGGAGCAGACTGGGGGTAGGGTATCTGGCTAGGATGGAGGGTGCAAGGAAGGGACTTGGGCAGGAATTAGACCTCCCTGGTCTGGCACCCTGACTGGTCCCAGATGAGGGATTTTTTGAACCAGGGGAGGTTATTTCAGGGCTCCTGGATCCCCCCTCCCCACTAGGCTTCTTTGCACCTTCCTCCCTGCTGGTTCCCTGCACATCCCCCCAAACCATCCCCCACAATCCAAGGGAGTGCAGCACCAGTTCCCTGCAGCCCCTCACAGCCCAGCTGAACTGCCCTTCTGTTCCCTATGCCTTCTCCCATTCACCTCAGCCCAGCTGAGCCCGCGCTGGTTCCCTGCATGCCTCCCCCCAGCACTGCTGAGCCCTGTTTTCCTGTGCCTCCCCGCAAGTCCCGCAGAACTGCTGAGCCCAGCTCTGATTTCCCGCCCCTCCCTCCCTCTCCTTGAGTCCAGTGCCGGGTTCCCGGCATCTCCCCCTGCAGCCCAGCCTGGTGACCCCTTAGCGTGGTGCCCGGGGGCAACTGCCCCCCCCCCGCCTGCTCTCCCCTCGGTACACCTCTGCCAGGAGCCCAGAACAACTGGCTGCATCCTCTGCCCAGCCTGACCCAGGGATTGGAGGATCTGGCACTGCACGGGCACTCCGGGAGCCCAGAACACCCTGGCAGCCACGCTGAGGCCCGGTATTTTTTTCCCGCGGATCAGTACTGGGCCACGTCCCATAGTTTGGGAAATGCTGACCTAGGCCACAAACACTGCTTTTTATAGTATTAGAATCTGTTTAAAACTTCCAATGAAAATATTTTTTGCGTATACTTTTTTGCGTATATCTCCAACAGCCTTTCCAGATGTAAGTATTCACTATTTAGATTAAAACGATTTATTAGTGTCCCAAACAAAGTTGAAGCCTCCGTCTTCAAAAAAAAAAAAAAAAAAAAAAATCAGTGTTCTCTTTATAAGTCAATAAGTTTTAAAAATCTCAGGTATTATTGGTAATGGGGGAAGTTCATTAAAGCTACAATTTTCCCCCTTGTTTGCATACTGTGAATGATCTTAGGAATCATATTTAGTGCTTTATACCTCAAACCTGAAAGTAGGTTTGTGGATGAACAGAACCTGACCCAGAATCAAACTAAAACCAATGGGCTTCACCATACCCATGGGTAGGATTAGGTAAGTATAAGGATAAAGAGTCCATACATGCATAAAACTATGTTTCCATGTATTGCATGCTACCGTGACCAATTTTAAACAGCATCAAGCGGATTTTATTGATTTCTTATATAGTTATTAAAAGCATAGTTAAAGATTTTGAGTCACTATGAAAAAAAAAAAAAACTTTCTTCATTGACTATATCCTAATCTTACCGATACTGTGGGTTTCGTGCCCATACTCCTGTTCCTACGGAGGCACCAACAATGACCATCAGCTTCCATAGCCATATTGGAGCAAAGACAGCCCAATAGCTCCACTGAATTTTGTCATCCAAACGGAGAGATAGCAGAACAGAGAACAGCAGCAGACAGGCATAGATAAGAAATTTGCTATGAAAAAACAAAAATACAACTTAGAAGTTATTACATACTTTTAGAAAACAAATTAAACTTAGTTCAGTCAGTGCCTTGTCTGTCTGCGCTGCACACAGCAATTTTGAATCAGATACAACAGAAAAAAGTTGAATTTGCTTGTTTTCTAGTTATAATATTAGTGTCTTAATAAGCAAAGTTAAAGATACAGAGATAATTTTAAAACTTAAAGTTCAGTCTGAATATCAGTTGTTTCAATTTTGAATTTTTTGAGAAAACGTAATCAATTCTGAAGTATTAAGTATTATATTCATGATCAAACATTTTTGTATACCACCTCTTTCATCTATAAATTAATCAAGGGAATATATCAAAAGCATTTTTACAAGGCATTCACACAACATATGAATGGACTTTTAAAAATACTTCCCCTCCCACAAGATAGCTCCTGATTAGAGTCTTCTAAAATATGCAACCTGATTAAATTTCATAAGCAGTATGTTCCTGGTAAGTATGCTTTCCAATACAAATCAAGGAATAATTGTAATCCATATAGTCATTTTGGTTATTTTTAATTTTAATAAATAATCTAGAATGTCAAAAATTAACTGAAATAAAAATGAATGGGATGCTGGAGCAGCCTCTGTACACGGGGAACTCAGGGCCCCCCTACAGATGGGCTGCGGCCATCCCGTGCTAGTTCCTCTGTAGCAGTGGCAACAGCTCAGGGCGGCAGGCAGGAGCTGGTCTGCATGGGGAGCTGATTTTTAAACCAGATCCCTCGCAGATCGGCTCCCGCCTGCCATCCCGCACTGCTGTCTCTGATACATAGGCAGCAACACGGGTTGGCAGAGGTCTCCCTGGGAGTGGGGCTGGAAGCCAGGCAAGTAATGGCTCTGTAAAAAGTTTTAAAATAGCTCTGTATCTTTAACTTTGCCTATTAAGACAATACACGTTGGACCTCCCTTGTCCAGCGTCCTCGGGAACTGAAACATCCCAAATTTGCCAGATATGTGGAGGTCCCCTCCCACTGGCCTCCCAGGATGTTCCCCTTCCCTGCAGTTGGCTCCCCAACTGCAGTGGCCCCACTTCTCCCCTGCTGGATAGGGGATCCTGGGGAATGGGGCTTGCTGTCTGCCCTGCTTCTGCTGCGCTCCCCCAGAAATGGACCAGTGAGCAGCAAAAGTGGGGCAGCCTCACTGGTCCAGCTGCTACTCCACCCAGCCAGGACTCAGGGGTCAGAGCTCCTCAGCCTTTGTGGCCCCACTTCTCTTCGGCCAGACCGGAGATCCCTGGGGACAGGGCTGGCCAGTGTTGCTGCTGCCCCGCCCGGTCGGGACTCCCCAGGGCCAGAACTCCCCAGCCACGCAACCCCGGTTCCCCTCCACCCAACCAGGGCTCCCTAAGGATGGGGTTTGCACTCCCGGGTGCCAGAGCTCTGCACGGTCCTGCCAAGCCATGGATGTTGCCAGATGAGAGAATCCTGGATTTTGGCAGTTCAAACTGGAATATTATAACTAGAAAACAAGTGAAGTTATTTCAGAGAGTGGCATTATGCATTAAAAAAAGAAACCAGTTGGACTTTTTTGAATCTTAAAAGTGCTAGAAAACAGTGCTCATGAAACATCTGTACCAGCAGCAAAACTCAGTTATGAAAAACATGGCTTTTACATACACTTTTATCCATATTGGCCTATGCTACAAAACTGTGTCAGAAAGCTAGGGCAGGTCTCAAGCATAGTTTTGGATACAGCACTTTTTATGCATTGTTTTTTATACATGGCTTTCATACAGCACTTTTATTTCAAAAAGAACCTGAAATGCCTCAGGCTTATACCGAAGGACCACTGCATTCACCACTAAAAAGCATTGTTTTTTTCAAGCACTGACTTCTAGGAGCCTGCCCCACGAGGATAGATGTTTCATTCATGCAGGGCAATGTATATTGGAATCCTATTTCTACCCTAAAGAGCTTACAGAAATCTGTTTAATGGTGAACAGCCACATTACATAACAGATTAGGTACAGTGTTTTTCACTGTGTGCTAAATGAAACAAGAGACAGAAAGAAGGTTAGAATTGGGCCTTTACACAAGCCCTCTTTTTCACTAGGTCTCCCTTCTCTGCACACTCCAGACCAGTGTTCCCTGTAAGTTGAGTGCTTGGGTGGCCTCTCAGGAAAGATTCAAATGCATCCCAGTGCATTACTAGAGCACCCATAGCCAGCAGCATGATCTGAGGAAGTGGGTCTGGCCCACGAAAGCTCATCAGGCTACTGAAGCCAATAGTAAACGAAGCCCTCTGAATCCTTCCTGTGCCACCATCAGATGTCACTTATGGCACAAACAAGGCTCAGCTATCCCTGGCTATCCTAATGCAGGTGTTGCATGTTGTATTCTGTTATTTTTCCCCATACATTTGCTGTCCTACATACTGTATGATGGAAGAATTTTTTTCATATCCCAGACATTTCCATCTTTTTTTCTGGAGATCTGTAAGTTCATTTCATTTAATACCTAGTGTTTTCTTGAGGCACTTGCTTTTTGAATCAAGTATCAAAGGGGTAGCTGTGTTAGTCTGAATCTGCAAAAGCGGCGAGGAGTCCTGTGTTACCTTATAGACTAACTGAAGTGTAGGAGCATAAGCTTTCGTGGGCGAAGACCCACTTCGTCAGATGCATGTAGTGAAGTGGGTCTTTGCCCACGAAAGCTTATGCTCCTACACTTCAGTTAGTCTATAAGGTACCACAGGACTCCTCGTCGCTTTTGCATCATCTAATAAACCATCTTGTTAGTCTTTAAAGTGCTCCATAGGCCTGTATTTTGTTTCAGCTACCCCAGACTAACACGGCCTCATTTCTATCACTTCTCTACCTATGGCGCACACCCACACATACCTCATGCACGTAACATTTATTCCACATGAAGATGGAACATAAAAACATGAGAACGGCCACAGTAAGTCAGACCAAAGGGCCATCCTGCCCAGTGTCCTGTCTGCCCACAGTGGCCAATGCCAGGTGCCGCAGAGGCAGCGACCCAAACAAGTAATGATCAAGCGATCTCTCTCCTGCCATCCCTCTCCGCCCTCTGACGAACAGAGGCTGGGGACACCATTCCTTCCCCGTCCTGGGGAACAGCCATGGGAAAAAGCAGAGGGCGCATCGCTCCTGACGGCGCCTGCTCCACGCGGCCCCTGGGCAGAGCTACACGCCGCACCCTGCATTGCTCCCCCCGGCGGTCTCGCCAATGACCGCCAGGCACTAGGGGTGCGCCCCT